CTCTCAATAGTGATTCTTCATTCCCTCTTCCCCAGGATTTGTTGTGGTAGCTGTTTGCTTGTTTATTTGTTAAGTGACTTGGCTGGACTGTTTTAGTGAATTCTACTTCCCCCTCAATGTGAAGGCTTTGATCTTGCTCACCAGGGGGCACAGCCTTGGGCGTGTGCACAATGGCTCCAGGATAAGAGTGGTTTTAGCAGGCACTCTCTGATTACCCCTTACCTTGACCTAAGTTGTCTGCTTCTGTTGGTATTACACCCAGCTGTTGGTTCCTCTAGTTGCTGTCTGATTGCACTGTTGTTTTTGGCAATGCCCTGGAGCGTAAATTGCTCCACAATCTGATTCAATTAAGTTTGAGCAACCTTCCAGAGATACAAACAAGGTGAGTGAGGGTGATCAGCAGCCCAGTATTCTCAGTCTGCCACAACTATTGTAAAGCCTCTGCTCCATGAGTCAGGACTGAGTGGATGAATGGAGCCTTTGACTTCTCGGCTACACTCTCCTGGGATTTAGCCTCTGCCACACGGAACTGTGGGGAGAGGGGAGAGGTGGGAGCATGAGAAATGCTGGCAACCTGTGCCTCCTAGGGAGACCCATAGCCCTTGACTAGGAGCTGGGGGAACAGGGAGCCTTATCTTCTTGGCCACACCTGTCCGAAGTGGAGCATCCGTTACGCTGAGCTGGGGTTGAGGGGAGTTATGGCTGTGCTATAGACATTTGCTGTCCTTACTGTAATTTAGTGGATTTCCCTGAATAAATATTTCTTCACTTGCTTTATGCCCTTAGGACAATTTCCAGAGACTTCAAATAGTTATTGTCGTTTTCTAAAATTTCTACCAGTTACGGTTGTTTTGCCGGAAGTGAGAGCTTCTAAAATAGTACCTTATTGTGGGTTTTCATTGCACGTCCTCAGTAAGTAACAAAGTTGAACGTTTTCACGTCATCCTGGGTCACCCGTGCAGGGCGTGCCTGTTTGCCCTCAGATCCATTCCTTGCGTTTGCCTGCACTGCACTGCAGAGGGGTTCACCCCACAGCCTGTGTTTTCCAGGCTCTCATGTCAGCTCTATTCGGGCTGAGTTCAGCCAAGGGGAGACATCGGGGGCATGCTGGGAGGCAGGAGGGTGAAGCCTGGGGTTTATCCCTTCCCTTCTCTTCCCTGGACTTTGCCTGCTCTGTTTGTGGCTTGAGCTCCTGCCAGACATGCCCACTGTGGCTCCAGCTTTCACTGGGTAATGCTGAATCCTGGGGTCCTAGGACACTTTCTTCTACCTTTGTCCTCCCAGCTGAGGGAATGGGAGTAGCTTCACACATTGTCCTTACTGTCCCATTTGCCTCTCAACTCCTCCATCACCTATGTCTTTTGGTGAACGGTTCTTAAAGTCAATGAAGTAGTCTACTTTTAAAATATATTTTCTTGATGGTTTGTGCTTTTGGTGTCCTATTTTAAGAAATCCTTTCCTAAACTTGACTAAACAAAATATTCTCCTAAATTCAAAAGTTTCTTACTTTAACCTCTCATATTTAAGTCTATAAGATACTTTGAATTAATTTTAGCATAAAGTATGAGGTGGGTTCAAATTCATGTTTTCTCATACTGATAACCAATTATCTCAGCACCATTCTTATTGAAAATCTTCCCTTTTCCTCACTGATCTTATATTTCTCTCTCTCCTTTTTTTTTTTTTTTGCAGGGGAAGATTTGCCCTAAGCTAACATCTGTTGCCAATCTTCCTCCTTTTTTCTTCCTTTTTCGCCTCCAATGCCCCAGTACATAATTGTGTATAGTTGTAAGTTACTCTGGTTCTTCTGTGTGAGCCCCCACCACAGCCTGCCACTGACAGATGAGTGGTGTGGTTCCATGCCCAGGAACCAAATCTGGGCCACCAAAATGGAGCGTGCCAAACTTTAACTGCTGGGGCATCAGGGCTGGCTCTGATCTTATATTTCTTTCTTTTTTTTCTTTTTTTAAGATTGGCACCTGAGCTAACAACTGTTGCCAATCTTCTTTATTTTTTTTTCTCCTGCTTTTTCTCTCCAAATTCCCCCAGTTCATAGTTGTATATTTTTTACTTGTGAGTCCCTCTAGTTGTGGTATGTGGGATGCCGCCTCAGCATAGCCTGACAAGTGGTGCCATGTCCGCACCCAGGATCTGAAGCAGCGAAACCCCGGGCCGCCAAAGCAGAGCGCACGAACTTAACCACTTGGTCACGGAGCCGGCCCCTTATATTTCTACATACTGATAGGATTTATTTCTGGACTTTCCAGTCTGTCCCATTAAGGGAAGTGTCTATACCCGATGGCTTTGAGGACAAACTCACAGAATCCTGCACAACTAACCCCTTAGGGACGAGGAAACCAGCTAAACAAAATCCTCCCTCCAAAGAAGTGAGGTCCAGCAGCTTTGAGAAGGCTGTGGCTGGAAGAAACTTCGGGTTCATGGGAGACAGATCTGGTGTGTAGATTCCGAGACTGGAGACCATGGCGGGACTAAAGATTTCAGCAGTCAATAGGGACACATGATGCCCCCAAACTGGGCAAGACCAGATAGAGTGAGTGAGGCCACCAGAGCAAAAGATGGAACAGGCAGGGTGTGGTGTTGCCCCCACCACACTAAGTCAGCTTTAGTTATAGACAGATGTGTGAACTGTTGTAACTGTCCATTTATATGTGCTAGTTTTCAAATTAAATAACACAGTCTAAAATAAGTAAGAAAAGATATTTATTGGCAATTAACTACTGACTTGAAAGAGTTGTCTTTGTTACTTGGTGTCAAAGAATAGATGACATAAAATTATTATGATTAAGGTCCATTTAAAGGGAATAAAGAATTTCTTTTGTAATTACTCTTCCACGAATTAAAGTTGGCAAAGCTACCCACAGGCTAGTACCTTGTAATACTATTATTAGATCTCAACTGTGAAATTATCAAAATAGCCTTACAAATGAATTGCCCATTTAAAAAGCAAACAAATGGAAAATGAAAAATCTACACGGAAGAATACCTTGATTTCTTTCTTTCTTTTTTTGAGGAAGATTAGCCCTGAGCTAACATCCTCCACCAACCCTCTCCTTTTTGCTGAGGAAGATTGGCCCTGAGCTAACATCCGTGCCCATCTTCCTCTATTTTATATGTGGGATGCCTGGCACAGCATGGCTTGATAAGTGGTGCATAGGTCCGCACCTGGGATCTGAACCTGTGGACCCTGGGCTGCTGAAGCAGAACATGCGAACTTAACCACTGCACCACTGGTCTGGCCCACACTTTGATTTCAAAAGTTCAGCTGCCGTCATCTGAAATTTCCTAATGCCATCAGGAACTATTGGGATTCACTACATCTTTTAACAGCAGACTGCATAGTGTCTTTCTAGAATAACTGGTATGACTGCCTCAAAACAAATTACCTGGCAAGAGTCAGGAAAAGATGTGAGAGCTAGATAACACATTAGGAAGTTTCAAAAATGCAAACTAAAAAAACATGCCTAGGTGTAATTAAAATATTTGTCAAGACGCACAACAATCCTCAGCCAGATTTGTTTCCTTTTTTTCAGGTTGTCAAAATCCACATTCAATTCAGATGTGAAAAGTAAAACAAGGTTAAATGAAAACTTTTCCTTTCAACGCTTTCCCCTAGATTCCCACTTACTCTCCTACAATGTAATCATTTCTTGGGGGTCTTTCTAAACACATTTTATGCATATCCAAGGAAACATACATTCTATACGTGTTATGCATACACTCCCCCACCGTACCCCGTGTTTTGCATTTACCAGTACCTTTTGCAGATAATTCATATTAACACATAAAGAACTTCCTCATTTTTTTTTTAGTGGTAGTATAACATTGTATATGGTTAATTGCATGTACCATAATTTATTGCTTTGTTTTTAGTTTAGTGAGGTTTTTTCCCCTAGGATGAATCTCTAAAAGATACAGACTTAAAAATCTATAACCATGATACTATCATCACAGTTAAGAAATTAACAATAATTTCTTAATATCATCACATACCCAGCCGATATTTGAATTATCTCATGTCAATTTTTAACTTTGACAACTTGAATCAGAATCTAAATAAAATCAACACATTGCAATCGTCTGATATGCCTTTTAAGCCCCGTTTAATCTAGAGGTTTCCCCTCTTTTCTTTTTTTCTCTTGCTTTTTACTTATTAAAGAACCCAGAACGTTGTTCTATAGTTTCTCACAGTCAGGAGCTTGCTGATTGCATCTCTGTGGTGGAGTTTAACGTGCTCCTCGGCCCTGTCTATTTTCTGTACATTAGCTGTTGGATCTAGGAACTCGATCGGCTTTGGTGGTGTGTGTGTGTGTGATTTTATCATTAGGCACACCATATATGGTTATCTTCCTTTTTGAAATCTTAGTCAAAGTTTCTTTTTGAATGGAGAAGTGGTAACTAATTTCGAAACAAAAAATATCCCTTTTTTCAGGAAGAGGTTCTGTGACAGACGTCAGGTTGAGCAACCACCGTGCAAGAGAAATGGTCACACCAGAATCATTCAGGCAAGACAACAAATTCCTTATTCTTCCCTCTTAAAAATGGTGTTTTCTTTTTGCTTAATTAGCTTTTAATGGCCACACGCTCCACATTGTTTCCTGAGGTATTATTCCCAGGAGGCCGCCCAAAAATGGCTCAGTGAATAATCTGCTTTTCAAAAGCAAACATAACTTGGGCCAGCTGCCACGTCCTAATGACCCAGGAGCCTCGTGACCGAGCTCCAGCCTTCCTGAACTGGAGACCTTCCCTGCCTTTACCTTCTTTCCGGGCTCGGGCGCGAGCTCCGCGCAGGACAGGCGGGAGGCAGCCGGGATCCCCCGGACGCAGCATCCCCGCCGGCGGCCGAGGGGCGGTCCCCGGGCCCCGCCGCGCCGCGCATCCCCGACCCGCCGGCTCACGTTCCCGCCCGCGCTGGGGGCGGGGCCTCGGGGCTCCGCCCCCGCCGCGGTCTCCTCGGCCGCCCCGCCCGCCGCCCACTGACAACAGCCCGGGAGCCGCCGCCGCCGCTGCCTCGGAGCAGCCGGGCCGGAGCGAGAGCCGAGAGCGGGCCCCCGAGCCGCCGCCGCCGCCGCCATGGGGAGCCGCGTGTCGCGGGAAGACTTCGAGTGGGTCTACACCGACCAGCCCCACGCCACCCGGCGCCGGGAGATCCTGGGTGAGGTCCGGGCCCGCGCCCCGTTATGTGCGCGCGCGGCCTCCCGCCGCCGGGGCGCGCTCTCCCCGGCGCCCTGCGCGCCCGCGGCCGCCCGAGGCCCGTTACCAGCCGCGTCCTGCCGCCGCCCGGCCGCGCGGGAAGGGCCCGGCGGGGCGCGGGCGGCGGGGGAGGGATGGGCCCCGGCCCTTCCGCGGAGAGGCGCGGGCGCGGCCCCGAGCGCGGCGTCCGGCGGGGGCGAGCGCTGCACAGCCCGGGCCCCGCGGCTAGGCCGCCCCGGGGGGATGCTCCGGTTGGGAGAGCCCGTGCCCCGGGCGGGTGCCGGTCCCTCGCCGCGGGCGCCCGGCGGAGCCAGGCTGCGGGAGTGTGCGGGCAGGGCGTGGTCCCCGAGCATCTGGGGCCCGCGCGCCGGCCACGCTCGCGCAGACGCCCTCCAGCCCCTGGGCCGCGGGAGCGCTGGCACCCGAGCCGTGGGACCCCGGGGGCCTGACGGGCGGGACGGGTGAGCCCTCGAGGCCTAGGGTCCTGGGCGGTCTCGCGTTTTGTCGCAATGCTCCTCACAGCTAGCCTGGGGCGCGAGAAGGACAGATTCCTGCGTATTTTTCACCCATGCTGGTTTAGGGCATGAAAAGACTGAGTTTGGAAGACTTGCCAAGATCAGCCTGCTGGTCCGCCTAATTTAGGGCCCTTTACCTAAATCAGGCGAAGTAGGCCTTGTCTAACTCTCGGGAGGTACAGGGCGCGCGCTCAGCTTCTTGGAGCTTGTATATTAGTCATGTAGAGAATTCTCTCCTCTCCCCCAGGATGTCTTGCTGCTAAGTCAGGCAGATGTGTTGAGCGCTCTACAGACATTACTCAGTTCAGTCCTCCCGGTGACTAGGTCTGTGTTTTCCCTATTTTAAGAATGAGGTAAGAGTGAATAAGTAAACGTTAGAGGGAGATTCTAGTCTGGGGTAGGTCGCCTCCAAAGCAGAAACCCTTAACCCGTTTGCTGTTGTCTGAAAACCCAGGAAACGGCTGGGCGCTAAGTTGAATAGGAGGAATTCTTTCTCATACAGAGATTTTCCCTAGTTTTTTCTTCTCAGCATCCATTTGCCCCGTGAAAAGAAAGAGCGAGCTCCTGACTTTTGCTAGGATATCTAAAGTCAGAAATTTTATGTTTTTACAAAAAGGACTTAGTGGATCCCATTAAAATGGATTTTAAAACATTGAATCAGTAAACAGGGAGCTTGAAGCTTTACAGTGACTTTTAAGGGTAACCTTTTAAGAGACTGGTTCTCCGATGCTTGCTTGCTTTTTATTTTTAATTAAAATGTGTATTTTGCAAATCACACATAAAGATAGCATATGATACATTCTATCCATACCTTATCAACCTATTGCATAAGAATAATCGGATGTCTGCCCTGTAAAAACCAACTCCTGAATCCTGGCCCTTGGCTGTCTATTTAAAATTCCGAAAATTAAGGAAGTAAAAGGGTGCTTATTGATGCTTATCTCAACACTGAGCTTTTTTTCCCACAACCTTGTTATCACCGAACCATTTCACTTGGAAAGTAAAAGGACTACATATTTCTCAATGAAAAATATCATAATTTTTTCCTGCAGGTGTAAATATGCTCAGTGTTCCATTTCAGAGGCGGAGATGGAATAACCTCAGGAAAGATAAGAATCTGGAGATGTGTTTAAATTGTACTTAAATGATAAGAGATATTTCTGAAATTTGTCAAGCTTTTGGGAAAGAGGCATGAGAGAACATGGACAGAATGTTTAATCACCAATATCTGTACCCTAAGCTTACATTTAGAGTTACATTAAAGGTTCATTTAAAAGGCGTCTGCTTGAAATTAATGACTGTTATTAGTGAGTCAAATAATAAAAATCTAGACTAGACCATTATTAGTGGGTTAAATAATAACTCTCAAGAAATGCTCCCTTTATTGCTATGCTTACACAGGGAAACAGTATTTTCTAACAGCTTTATTAGGATATAATTCACAAACTATAAAATTCACCCATTTAAAGTGTACAGTTCAGTGTTTTTTTAGTGTATTTACAGAGCTCTGTAACTATCACTACAATCTAATTTTTAGAATATGTTGTCACCCCAAAAGAAACTCAAGCAGTCCCTGTGCCCCCCCACCCCAGTCCTAGGCACCCACTAATCTGCTTTCTGTCTCTCTAGATTTGCCTATTCTGGACATTTCTTATAAATGAAATCATGCAATACTTGGTCTTTTGTGACTGCTGCTTTCACTGAGCATAGTATTTTCAAAGTTCATCCATGTCGTGGTGTATATCAGTACCTCCTTTCTTTTTATGGCAGAATAACATTCCATTCATTGTATGGATATATCACATTTCATTTATCCATCCATCAGTTGGTAGACTTTTGGGTTTTGACTCTTATGAATAATGCTGCTCTGAACGTTCATCAACAGGTTATTGTATGGATGTATTTTCATTTCTTTTGGGTATCAACGTAGGAGTGGAATTGCTGGGTCATTGGTGACTCTATTTTGAGGAACTCCTAAATTTTTCCAAACCAGCTGTACCATTCTACATTGTCACCAGCAGTGTGTGCCAGTTCCAATTTCTCCACATCCTTGATAGTGCCTTTCTTATTACAGCCATTCTAGTGGGTGTGAAGTGGTATCTCATTTTAGTTTCAATTTGCGTTTTCCCAAAGACTAATAATGTTGAGCATCTTTCATATGCTTATTAGTCACTTGTCTATCTGCTTTGGAGGAATGTGTATTTAAATTATTTGCTCATTTTTTAATTAGATTATTAATTATAAGTTTTAAGAGTTCTTTATATATTCTAAATACAAGTCACCTATGACATATATGATTTGCAAATATTTCCTCCCATTCTGTGGATTGTCTTTTCACTTTCTTGATGGGATCATTTGCAACAGAAGTTGATGCAGTCCAGTTGATCTTTTTTTTCATTTATCACTTTTTCTTTTCTCATTTCACTAAGAAAACGTGAAACTCACAACGATTTACTTGTTTTCTTATGTTTTATAGTTTTCTTGTATTTAGGCCTATGATCCATTTTGAGTTAATTTTTGTGCATGGTGTAAGGGAGCGGTCCAGCTCCATTTTTTTGCATGTGGATAACCACTTGTTCCAGCAGCATTTGTTAAAAAGAGTATTCTTTCCCCATTTAATTATATTGGCGCTCTTGAGTTTTATATACTATTAACAGCTTTGGAAAAATTTGGTACATTATTACTTGGAGCAGGTTGATTCGTCTGAGAGAACTGTGCATGTTTCATCATTTTAGAGTATCTACAAAAATGTGTATTATCTTCTATCTTTTGTCAGATGTGTCAATTTAATCATGTTTTATATACGGTAAAGATGCTGGAGCTCTGCCTAGACAGAAATAACACGTTTTAATACAAAAGAGTTATTACTTATCCACCAATAAACTGAACAGTTGTTATTCTGTTCCTGGAGAACTGCTCAAAAATGCTCATATTTTAATGAATAACTTAGTTGAACTTTTCATTTATACCAGGAAAATTAGTTTTAGACTAATTCACTTCTAGGCCTGTAGGATTACTTATTTTGGTCTATTGCCTAGGAAATTCCTAACATTTGATAAAATGAACTAATCCTAAGAAAGATTAGAAGTTCAGGAATGGAGAGAGAAAAGGGGAAAGGAAAGAAACTAGAGGTTACTCACCTTGAGTTAACCTGCCCTTACTTCTTGTATATAAAACTGGACTTAAAATAACTTCCTGTCTTGCATTTTAAGCTTTTGTTGAATTCCTCATCTCACATTTAGAGAAAAGAGGATGGAGATGCTCTTTTCCCTTCTTTATCTTTTCAAGAACATTCTCCCGGCCGGCCCCGTGGCCGAGTGGTTAAGTTTGCGTGCTCCGCTTCAGCGGCCCAGGGTTTCGCCAGTTTGGGTCCTGGGTGCAGACATGGCACCGCTCGTCAGGCCATGCTGAGGCGGCGTCCCACATAGCACACCCAGAGGGACCTACAACTAAAATACACAACCATGTATTGGAGGACTTTGGGGAGAAGGAAAATAAAAATAACATTCTCAATGACCTGTCCCAAGAAAAGGGTCCTCCTCCTTTTTGCCATCCTGGGTCAAACATACGTGGCAACGCATCAAACCAGGGGCATTCATTCTATGTGGGTTATGATCTCTGGGTTGGGAGGACACAGAGAAGAAACTCCATTTACCCTTAGGGGACACTTGCCTGAAATGCTGAGTTTTTCTTATTGGCCTTTTTCATAATACTTGGATATTTGCGTGTAGATTCAACAAAGAAAATAAAAATGTAACACAAATTAGCACTGTGCAATTCTAACACAAAAATAAATAAACAAGGAAAGTGGCACTGTAAATCCATAGAATTCTTTGGAAATTATCCTAATTTCCAGATGACTAGAGTAAGTCTGCACTGGCAAAAATTTTAAATATCTAAGTGTCTAAAAATAGGGAAATGGTTAGAAATTACAACTAGCAATTAGAAGTGATTTAGTCATTATAAAGGAAATGATGAAATCTAAGTATGTGTTATATTGTATATGTGTAAATATATTGCATATATATTGTATATATGAGTATATGATAAGTATGTAATAAGTATGTAGTATGTATAAGTATATAATATATTCTGTCAGACACAGAATAGATTTAGCAGACTTTGCAAGTTTTTAAAGCTTATAAATTTAATATATAAAGAATCGTTAGGGGCGAAAAGGGAATTGGATAACATGAAATCTACTCATTTGTGACTATCTTCCTGTTAATGTGGAAAGTCTAGATATTGAGGCTAATTTATTCTCAATTTGTTGTGACATGGTATTTAGTAACTTTACTATTAGAATAAACTCCTTCCCTGTGGTAGATAAATATTTGATAAAGTCTCTAATAGAGCGCATGCAATGATTTGGAAAAAGAAAAAAATTAATGTGTTGATTTAATTTAATTGCTGTTAATTTAGTTATAATTACAGAACTATTATGCACTTGCCTCAGTTCCTCATTTTTTTGTTTGTTTTTCTTTACAGCAAAGTATCCAGAGATAAAATCCTTGATGAAACCTGACCCCAACTTGATATGGATTATAATTGTGATGGTCCTCACTCAGTTGGTTGCGTTTTATCTAGTGAAGGACTTGGACTGGAAATGGGTTGTATTTTGGGCATACGCTTTTGGCAGCTGCGTTAACCATTCAATGACTCTGGCTATTCACGAAGTTTCCCACAATAGCGCCTTTGGCCACTACAGAGCCATGTGGAATCGCTGGTTTGGAATATTTGCTAATCTTCCTATCGGCGTTCCGTATTCAATTTCCTTTAAGAGATATCACATGGATCATCATCGGTACCTCGGAGGCGATGGCATCGATGTGGATATTCCAACCGATTTTGAAGGCTGGTTCTTCTGTACCACTTTCAGAAAGTTTATATGGGTCATTCTTCAGCCTCTCTTTTATGCATTTCGACCTCTCTTCATCAACCCCAAACCAATTTCTTATCTGGAAATTATCAATACAGTGATCCAGATCACTTTTGACATTATAGTTTACTATGTTTTTGGAATTAAATCTTTATTCTACATGTTGGCAGCATCCTTACTTGGTCTAGGTTTGCACCCGATTTCTGGACATTTTATAGCTGAACATTACATGTTCTTAAAGGGACATGAAACTTACTCGTATTATGGCCCTCTGAATTTACTTACCTTCAATGTGGGTTACCATAACGAACACCATGACTTCCCCAACATTCCCGGAAAAAGCCTTCCCCTGGTAAGTAAAGGATTTGATACATGTTCTAACTTCTGATGGTCATCTGATCAAAATTAGTCTTGACCTTGCTCATTTAAAAAGGAACTGAGTATATTTTCCCCATCTAGGCCACTCCTCAGAGAAGGCAACAAGAGTGTAAGTCCTGAGTCTGCCAGCCTCAGTTTACGGAGTTCACGCTCCCGGATCCCTAAGCCTGGTGGGAATGCTTAGGGTTTAGAAGTGTTGGATCTGCAAAATCTGCTAACTTAGGAAGTGGTTCAGAAACGGAGGACGAAATCCCTCTGTGAAGTAAGCAGAAGTTCACATAACCATCACCACTGTTAAACGGAATAGGCTGAGCCAGGAGTCGTGTGTTGGCTTGCTGTGAAATACAGGTGTCCCACAAAATCGATCTGCAGAAGAAACGCTCATCAGTTTCCAGCCCTGCAGACCTGTGGGCAGGGGGCCGGGGCTTCCCTTCACGGTAGACCTGTAGTGTATTGTTCACGGAGTAAATGAAAGAAGACATTTTCACCCTCCAAAAAAGGACCGCCTTCCTAGCTTCAGTGATCTTTCTGGTGAATTCTCTTATTAGACTTCCCATCTTCAAAATGGGTAGCTTTCACAGCTCTTTTTATCAAAAAATGTTTCCATAATTCAAAAAAAGGTAATATGTATGACGTGTAATAATAGTTTTTCTTGACTTTTTTAAGCTATGATAGAAGGGAACCATAGCCACATAATTTATGCTATCATATCCACCCAAATTTTATAGATTTCCTCGAGTTTTCAAATGCTGTTTAAAAACTCACAACATAACAACTAAATGTAATGTTTGATGATTGACTAGATTTCCAATGGAAGAAAGAAAAATTGAGAGAGGACATTGAGTCAGTGGGGAATTCTGAATCTGGACTGTATGATAGATAATTTTGTGTCAATGTTAAATTTCTTGGGTGTGGTAGGGTATCAGTGATTTTGAGGAGAATGTCCCTGTTCTCAGGGTATACATGTTGAATATTTAGGGTGAAATGTTAGGGGTCAGTTGTCACACAGTGTCTGCCGCTTACTCTCAAAAAGTTCAGCAAAGAAAGCAAAGTGTGTGGTGTATGTTATATACAGAGAGAAGGTGACTGTGACATAGTGTTAATTGGTGGACCCAGGTGAAAGACATATGGGTGTTCGTTTTACTGTTCTTTCCACTTTTCTGTAGGTTTTACATTTTTCAAAATAAAATGTTTGGGGGCAAACACAGCACTGTCTGAAGACAGCTCTGACACGGGTGAAACGTGATGCTGGCACAGCTCCTTTGTGTCGGCCCGAGCAGAGTGTGGAGCCTTCCTTTGTCTCTTCCTGAACTAGGGCGGCGAATTTTTCAAGAGATGATGGAGAAAGCTGGCTGTCCTTTGAGTGAAAGGATTTTTTCCAGCATAAACCACAGACTTTAACTTGTAATTTTCTTGAGCGGACCCAGAACTGAAAACTACTTCAGTTCAGTTCAGAGATGGCTTGACTGAAGGCCCGTGGTTCAGCAGTGGCCGTTGATCTCCCTCTGCATTTCACGCTGTCTCCTTACCCCTTAGCCAAGCTACCGAACGTCCTCAGAGTCCCTGCTCCTCCCTTTCCTGCTTTTTCTGTGGTGTATGTCAAAGAGTATCTTGTTCTTTTTTCCTCAATAAATACCTTATGTTACAGTAGTTACACTACATGTAACTATCACACAGTTAATAGGTATTTATAACAAGGTTATTTTAACAGCTTTCTTGAGATACAACTCATATATACAATTCACCCATTTAAAATGTACAATTCAATGCTTTTTAGATTATTCACAGAGTAGTACAACCATCACTCCAATCAATTTTAGAACATTTTTAGCACAACAGGTTTTTGATTTCTTAATTCTTTTTTTTTTTTTTTTTACTGAGCTTTGCTGTCCACAAAATGCTATGTGTATGTTTTTTTTTTTGAGGAAGATTAGCCCTGAGCTAACCACTGCCAGTCCTCCTCTTTTTGCTGAGGAAGACTGGCCCTGAGCTCACATCCGTGCCCATCTTCCTCTACTTTATATGTGGGATGCCTACCACAGCATGGCTTGCCAAGCGGTGCCATGTCTGTACCCGGGAGCCAAACCAGTGAACCCCGGGCTGCCAAAGCGGAACGTGCGCACTTAACCGCTGCACCACTGGGCTGGCCCGTGTTTTTTTTTTAAAGATTGGCACCTAAGGTAACATCTGTTGCCAATCTTCTTTTTTTACCTTCTTCTTCTCCCCAAATCCCCCCAGTACATAGTTGTATATTTTAGTTGTGGGTCCTTCTAGTTGTGGCATGTGGGACGCCGCCTCAGCATGGCCTGATGAGCGGTGCCGTGTCTGCGCCCAGGATCTGAACCGCCGAAACCCTGGGCCACCTAAGCGGAGTGTGAGAACTTAACCACTCGGCCACGGGGCGGCCCCCCTGAGTGTGTATTTTTCCACTTGTTCACAGCCTTGTAAAGTACAGAGGTAGGCGTCAGGGGTTTATGATGTCAGTGTTTGAACTGAATTGGACACGTGGCTAATAAATTCCCCAGGTTTTCTAGCTCCTAGTACTAAGGAATTCATTGATTTTTGACTTTGTCTTTTAAAAAATTTACAAATTATAACCTTTTTTGTTTTTATTATGGTTTTTAATGTATTTTTAGTCTTAAGGAGTGTCTTGATTTGACTCAAAATGCTTATTCGGGATTTGAGCTGACTCTGCCATTTTATTTTTTCAGAAGATAAGTGTCTTCTAGCTGTTAAACTGGTTGCTGCCAGGCTTTGACATAAGTTCAGTGTGGATTGGGATCCAGGTTTATTTCTATGTGTTGGTCTGTAGATCATCCTTATTCATGAGAAAATTTTAGGAAGTTTTGATCAAAGGTATTACATCTTCTTGCATTTCTTCTGACTAACCGAGAACACCCGTGTGAAAAGCTCTGTTTGGCCTTAATTGTTCCTTGAGAGTTGTATATTAATCTGCTTCTCCACAACCAGAACATAGTACGTTTCCCAAATTGAAGGAGTTGATTCTAACTGTAACATTCATTTCTCTCTTTTTCTTGCTGCCTCTTTTCCATTTTGGATTCTGCTTTTTTGTTTTCCTTTGGGATTTATCAGGATAGATTTTGTGCATTTCGATGAAGCCAGGGAACCGTTATTATTCAGCATTCAGTTTTGCTTGCTAATCACACTGGCAGTAGTCATTTTTTTAAAAGACATTTTCAACTTGAGATGGCAGAATTGCACACTTGATCCATGCTAAATTTCTATCTAATTGACATGCCACAGGAATTTATTAGTATTTGCAGGGTCCTTAATGACAGGGGTCAGGTGTTACCTTTCTGTCCCACAGTGCCAGCCATTCAGGACGTGCCTGAAAAATATCAGGTTGACTGCATTGCATGTATTTGCTGTTAAAGAGGCCAAGGGCCAAATTTTACCAGTAAAGCAGATGTTTAGTCCCTCAGAGCTTGACAGGAAAGAGTCAGTAATCCTAGAGGGTTAAGTATATTTTTTGTTGAAATGCAAACTGCTTTCCGTTTCGAAGTCCCAAAGCTGCTGCTTTTATTTATTTATTTGTTTGTTCTGAGGGAGGAAGGAAGGTCTCCTGGTTTCTCTTCTCAGCGTTGGTGTCAGACATTCATCTGTCGTCTTTCCCAGGACCCAGGGAACACGCGTCATTCACCTTGCGGCCTTTGTTCCCTTCCAGGTGAGGAAAATCGCAGCCGAGTACTATGACAGCCTCCCCCACTACCAGTCCTGGATAAAAGTGCTCTATGACTTTGTGACAGATGACACCATAAGTCCCTACTCCAGGATGAAGAGGCATCAAAAAGGCGAGGTGGAACTGGAGTGAAGGTCGCCGGAGCCAGAAGAATTCCTCTCTGAAACGTCCAAGTAGCCGATAAGGTGGAGCTCTTGCATTATTAAACCGAGACCAAGGGGTGTGGGAGCCACCCTCATACAGTTTCTGAGTGTGATCCCCGTGGTGTCAGGAAGCTAACCTGGCTCTACCAGCTTGTCCGCAGTGTTCAGCTTTACTCACAGGAAGTGTATTTGTTGTGTTGTCATTGTGGAGGATGTTTTCACCCATGTCTGACAGTTTGCAAGCATGTCATAAAGAAGCTTTTAAACAGCTGTTTCTAGTACATTATTTTCACTATAAAGTTTTCCTTTATTAAAACTGTTAATAAACTGAGCTATTAATCACAACAAATAGTATTTATCACATTTTTGTATTTTACTGTCTCTATACCATGTAATACGGTAACCAGGGTATGGGTTTCCCCAGCCATCCGAAAGTTCACTTTAGGCCACTTGGCTTCTGTGAAGGACCTACATTGGTACCTGTTTTCACTAACCAAAAGAAATCCAAAGAGGATTTTCGCTTTTATGAAAAAAGGTGAAAAGTGAAAATAGCATTATAGAGACAGCGGCACCCCAAGCAGTGAGGGCAGCACCACCAGGCCCCTTCCCCTGGGACGACACCCAGCTTCTCAGCATCCCGCCGCCATAGCTGCAAACCATGTCTCTGAGCCTTTGTGCTCTATCTCGATTTTTTTTGGTAGGTTATTTTTGGGTTCTGGGGATGCTTCAGAAATTTTCCCATATAAGTTAGTGGTAATTACTGCTTCGCTTTACACCGTCTTGGCTCACAAAAGGTTTCGTAGGAACACTGCTTTCAGATGGTGGGGGAAACCCGGACTAGGGTGAGCTTACTTTAAAACTTCACCAAAAAAAAAAAAAGCCTGGCAGTATCTTTCACTGCAAGCTGAATTACTCATTTTAATGTCTGCTATTGTACGTGGGACCTAAATTAGACACTGCTGAAGCCTACACAGCCTTATTCATAAATAAAGTACTTACTGAATTTGTGTCCAACATTCAACTTCCTTTTTCAGACGCATTGACTCCCACATTGAAAGCAGCTCAACTGATAAAGCATTTCCTGTCATTTCACTGCAGCAGAAACTGGTTGTGGTCTGATGGTAGATAGTTGGTCTCAAGTAGCCAGTACCATGGGCTGTTAGGCTCGAAGTCCTGGTTAGCTGGAATGTGTCACTTCGGTCAATTTAGTGTAATATGGTGAACTATTTAAAAAATATCATGTGGCATCAAAAAATCTAACAGTCTACAATTTGTACACACCACCAACCCTCAGGCAGGCATCCCGAATACGAGATATTATAATAAGATTCCTGTTTTTATAATTACCAGCCATCGTGCTGTTTCACCCCGCTGAGAGCAAAGAGTAGAATCCTCATCCTCGCAGGGATTGGCAACCTGCTTTGCAGACGTAATTTCATCCCCAAAGGACTGCTTTCCCTGCCTGATCCTCCTGCCTGGGAAAATTCCTCATATCTTTGAACTGGTGCTTAAACACCATTGCTTTAAAGTTTAGAGTGATAAGAGAACCAACTTTACAATCACATACCCTTGGTCCCAGTCAGTAAAAAAGTATCTGTGAAACATGCATGGATTTGAGGCTAGACATTAAATACAGGGTGGGCGCCCACCGAGCCCTCCGCTCCCCTTGCCTACAGAACACGCAGATGCTGAAGACACCCACGTCTCCTGTTGGGGCAGCCCTCCCTGAATTCTGGGACCTGCCAGCTGTGTAGAGATTGCATTATCCTTCCCAAACCTGCTGTTTGCGGTGACATGACACTTCTTGCCTGAATGGGGGTTTCCACCAGGTCTAGCCCATCGAACTCCCATCTGCCGACTCAGCTCGTTCTCTCCATCGCCGGCAGTGACTTGTCCAAAGAGGGACCTACCACTGAGGGCAGGAGGAGGGCTGGGCCGCAGAGCCTTTCAAGCACAGAGAAATCCTGAGAAATCCTTGGGTGACTTTGCACAACTTCCTCTTGCCTAGATTGCCCTTTCCCCGTTTCTGGTCTGGTTAGCTCATCCTTTGAGGCTCACACCAGCATCTGTCGCCCATCTCCACATCCGGCAGGTTAAGTTCCACTTCTCTGGGCCCTCAAGCAGTGGTTACCGTCATTCACAGCCCCACACACTGTTGTAACTATGCACAGTTTGTTTCCCTGAGGCTGGAACTCCTTAAGGACAGGAAAGACCTTTTCTTTCTCCATTCCCCAAACTAGGGTCAGTGCTTGGCTTGAAATAAGTACTTAATAAATGGAGAGAGACCCACAAGATAGTCCTTGAACTTGAGAAGCTTTTCACCTAAAACAGAAACAAAGCAAAAGATGGAGGGCTTCTGGATAACCTCTAAGTAAGTGTGTTGTACTGAAAACTGGGCGTTTATTGAGAATCTTTTCACTGAGCTCTGTGCTGAGGTTTTTACATGCATTGTCTTATTTAATTCTCAACACTTCTATGACGTAGATAGCACTATCAATATCTTTAACTTGTAGATGAGAGTAAGGCTGAGAGAGACTGAGTAACTGACCCAAGATCATGGTCGCTTGCAGAGACAGCATCTGAAATTCAGAATGTGTGACTCCAGAACCAAAACTCTTGACCGTGCTCCACATGGCTTGTCGGATGAGCCTGGTTCTGGAAGGGGAATGGGAAAGAAAAAAAATAGGTCCCCATGCATTACCAAATATGTGTTTGTTCCACTGCCTTGTTAACCATTTCCTGTGCACCAGCAGTTCTGGCTGGATCCCTGCATTTTTTTGACTTTTAACAATCTAAAATAATGGGCCATCTGGCATGCTCCATTTTGGCAGCCCAGGTTTGGATCCCAGACATGGACCTATACGACTCATCAGTGGCCATGCTGTGGCAGTGACCCACATATAAAATACAGGAAGACCGGCAAAGATGTTGGCTCAGGGCAAATCTGCCTCAGCAAAAAAAAATAAACTAAAATTCCTTTTATCTTTTTAACAGTTCAGCTTTTTATTGAACACATTAAAAGGTTTAGTCAAAAAGACCAAAGCCCATGTCATCACCTGCCTCCTCAGATTCTTCTTTCTTTTCTTCCACTTCCTTCTCTGCTGGGGCACCAGTGGTGGAGGGGGCATGGCCAGGAGCCCCACACTGCAGAGGAGGCTCCCGATGTTGATGTTGGCCTGGGTCTTTGCAAAACAAGCCTGGCCAGAAACGTTCAACATTTACATGGGCTGCTTCAATGAGGGCATTGATCCTATCGTATGTGACTGTCGCCTCAGTCGTGCAGGACGAGATCTGAGCAGATGCAGGCGAGCTCAGAGACAGAGGCCATGGAGCCAGCGGGTGCTGGGTGGGCAGCTGCTGGGCGTGGTGAGCACCATCTGAAGTTAGGGCCCCACCTCAGTGTGGCCTTAGCTTCCTCTGAAGGATCGAGCACCTTAGCAGAAGCTGAGGAAAGGGCCAATCTTAAAATTCTAATGTGAAACATTAATGTTTAAATCCATAGCAAAAATGCGTTTATTCATTCATTCATTCTACAGGTACTTTGCCAGGCATTGCATGAGGCAGTGAGGATCCAAAGACAAAATGTGGTCCCAAATGAAGGAGCTGATGCTCCAGCGGTGGGATGGGTGTGTGGAGTCAGAATTCAATAATCAGGGACTCGGGAGGGTCACGATGTGGCTGGAACTGGGTGGAGGGCACACAGCAGCTCCCGTGGAGCAGCTGTCACCACTCTGACAGACTACGTGCAGGTGGGCATCTAATCCACGTCCGCCTGCTGACGGAGATAAGCGTGGGGGACCACGCTTTCATGGAAGGACAAATGGAGCTCCAGAGAGATTAGCCTGCAGGCGTGCATGGTGAGCCAATGCCCGGACCCCGGGCAGCTAAAGGCCGTGCTCTTTCTGCAATCCTGCTTGCCCGGCTGACTTGGAAGCTCTGTGTGAACAGGGAAATGTGTTGTTTCTTGTCTTAGGAAAATCTTTCAGGAGCCTTGCTCATTTGGAACGGAGCAAGGACAGTCTGACGGCCTAGGGCTGGGAATGCCCTGGAGAAACTGTATCCTCAGAAACCCAAGAGCACAAACCCCTAAGATGCTCTCGGTGTGTTCGATTCTGAGACAGGACAAGGATGAGCACGCACGTTCCTGGTCAGGGAAGCTCAGAGCAGGGGAAAGAGAGAGCAGGGAGCAGAGCCTGCAGACTTGAGCAAGCCTGGAGTGCTGTGGGCCACGTCTGTGGTGGGGCTTTAGCAAGAAGGGGTGTGGTGACAACCCAGGGAGAGTCCCGCCTGGGAGAGGGAACAGGATCTGACAACACAAGGACATGCAGGTCAGATCATGCAGGGACTTCTTGGTCAGAGTTAATGACGTGGTAGAGGTGAAAGAATGGGGAGCAGCACGTCAAAAAAGACAGCTTTGTATGTGCTAAGTTGAGTGTGAATTGGCAGATGGCTCAGGAAGCTAATTCTTGGATCCAGCCAAGGGGAAGCTTTCAAATGCCAAGTAGATGCGTCAGTGATGTTCAGAAGGTAGTTGCTCTCCCAGGCGTGTGTGGATTGGCACACAAGACCAAAAGCAAGGGCCAAGGACCGTGTCTGTGACCTGGCTGCTTGGGGAGTATGAACAGACAGTACCCCTCTTGGATCTGGGGCACCTAGAATTTTCCTCTAAAAGTAGAACCCAAAGAAACACAAGTAGCATTTTTATAGGGTCAAGAGCGGATTATGTGTGACCAGGTACACACCCCTGTATTTGTAATCCTGGGGAAAGGAAGAGAATAGAGGCTTTGTGAAAAAGGCCTGGGGGAACTGAACTGCCCTCAGTGCTGGGTTCTAAATCCTTGGAGATCAGCAATTTGCTAATCCAAGGAGAGAGTGGACAGTCCCCTCCCCTGTTACGTTACTATCAAGGGGCCCTCAGGAAGCGTCAAATGAGACCCAGGGTGACTCTTCATTTGTCAAAAAAGGGAAAGGGACAGTCATCCGCCCAGTTAGTGGTTTAAGCCTCAAATTTTCCTCTCATTTAGTAGCCGAGGTTTTTTTTTGGTACAAGGAGAGTGCCACTGCCTTCCCAGCCTGGACGGCAATCTCCCAGCTTCACCACAGCCAACATCTAGACATCTGCTTTCTCCTCCAGGCTGGGCCTTAAATATGCTAGACAGTGGCTTCTTTCCTGTTGTTGTCTTTCGTAAAAACCCTTTCATGTCACTTTCTACTTTTTGAGCATATGTCAGCTTCAGCGCTGACAGTATAAAGGTGCCAGCCCGCCACGCTGGGCTTCAAAGCGCTGAGTGGTCCCCTGCATTCTGGTCGCCCCAACCGAACTCTGAGTGCCACGGCCGGGGTCGGCTTCCTTCTCCCCATGTGTGTCCATCTCTGCCTCCCAGAGTGGGGTCACCGTGGGACAGCACCCTGGGCAGCCTTCCTGACACCTTCACTTTCCAGAGGGAATCTCCTGGGCCCAACCGGAGGCTGTCTCCCTGGTCAGGAGCCTGGGAAAGGCACTCTTGATCTCTTTCCCTTCACAGAGACATGGTCCCAATTAAACCTGGGAGCTCACCCCGCTGTGCCCCACTCTCAGGACTCAGAGTTGAAAAGAACAGCTGCGGATTCTACTTCAAACTCTGCCATCTTTGCATTTTGTAAAAGCAATTTTTTCATCTCCTGCTACCTTCTCAAAAATACATAGATAAATAAAAGCAAGAGAATTCACCAAAAATCGAGTCTGAATGACGAATTCAATAAATTCCTCAAGGGGCCAGCCCGGTGGCGCAGCGGTTAAGCGCGCACATTCCACTTCATTGGCCCGGGGTTCGCCAGTTTGGATCCCGGGTGCAGACATGGCACTGCTTGGCAAGCCATGCTGTGGTAGGCGTCCCACG